CAAAAAGTCCCAGATTTTCTTCTCCAATAATACGGAGCCGGGCCTTGTAACCGAAATAGCAAATAAGTTTGGCATTGTTGAAACCAAGGACTTGGGACGGTATCTCGGGGTGCCATCCATTCACGGGAGGGTAACTTGTAACACATACGCTGGTCTCCTCGAGCGCATCGCGGCTCGCCTTGAGGGGTGGAAAGCCAAAACCCTTTCTTTAGCAGGAAGAGTAACTCTTGCAAAGTCGGTCCTTAATGCTATTCCTGTGTATACTATGCAAACTGTAGCCCTCCCTAAAGGAATCTGCACCGAGATTGAGAAGCGAACTAGGCGATTCATCTGGGGCAAGAATGAGCAGACTGGAGGCGACAGAATGAGCCTTACTAGTTGGGAGGTGGTCACCAGGGCAAAGGAGGCGGGTGGCGTAGGACTACGCCGCCTTCATGATATGAACTCTGCATGCATGGTAAAACTAGGATGGCGCCTACATACTGAACCTTTTTCTCTTTGGGCGCAGGTTATTACGTCCAAGTATGGTAGCATGGATCATGCAGTGGGCAGAAGGACGACCTCTAATGTCTGGAAAGGAATTATTATGGCGAAACAGTTCCTTGACAACGGCTTAACTCATCTAGTCCGTGACGGGAGTGCCACTCAGTTCTGGATGGACAAATGGCTCACATCCAGGCCTCTCTACGATCAGCTCCAGGCCCCTCTGGGTCTCCCCGATTTATACGCGATTGTGAACACTTACTGGGATCCGGATAGAGGATGGAAATGGGAGAAGCTAACTAATACTTTGCCACAGGAAGCCATGGAGCGTATCGCAGGGTATAGACTGACGGAAGCTGGTGTTCAGGATGAATGGGGTTGGGGCCCGGACCGCCGGGGACAGTTCTCGGTCAAGTCCGCGTATGGCCTCATCACTAATGCATCAGAGGACGTAGCTGACAAGGAGTGGAAGAAAATTTGGGCTCTACGGGTGCCGGCAAGAGTCTCGATGTTTATGTGGCTCATAAAGCATGAAAAGGTCTTAACCAATGCAGAACGTGCTAGGCGACACATTACTACTAACGATTCTTGTTTTAAATGTGCAGGGAAACGCGAGGATCTAAATCACCTCTTTAGAGAATGCACAGCGGCGCGACAAATTTGGAGCGAGAGTCTTCACTGGCGAGTGGCGGACAATTTACGACACCTAAATTGGCAGGAATGGTTTACGGTGAATTTGCAGGGTGACGCGAAACATGGTTTCGAAGATGGATGGCCTGAGCGCTTCGGAAGTAGGCTGTGGTGGATTTGGCGTTGGCGCAACGATGAAGTTTTTAGTCATCAATCTATCCCAATCGCACAAAAATTGGACTGGCTACGGAAATACGATGCCGAGACGTCCGGGGCGTTTGGGAAAAAGAGACGACCTCTCAGCAGAAAGCAGGTGGCCGTGGAAACCAGTTTGGCTTGGAAGAAGCCGCCAAGGGAGTGGGTGAAAATCAACGTGGATGGAAGTTGTAAAGCGAATGGGATAGCGAACTGCGGCGGTGTTCTCCGGGATGACTTTGGCGATTGGCTCTGCGGCTTTACATGCAAAATTGGAAGGTGTTCGAGTGAGGCTGCAGAAGCATGGGGTGTCTTGCATGGGCTCTGCATGGCGAAATATTATGGAGCCACCAGAATCATCCTAGAATGTGACTCCAAAACCACCATTGCGAGCCTGCGCAAAGAGAGAAACTGGCATGGCGTAGAAGATAACCTTGGCAGGCTGTGCCTAAGTCTAGCATCCAACTTCTCAGAAGTTAGATTTGAGCACATATATAGAGAACAGAATGTTTTGGCTGATAGGTTGGCATCCATGGTGACTACGGATCAACAGGGACTACGCATCCTCCACGAGCAGCCCCAAACGCTGGAGTGTGTGATTCAGCTTGACAAAATTGGAGCCTCCTCCAAGCGGCGTATCTCCCGCAACCCCTCTTAGGGTGTTTGTTTTTTTTGGGTATCCCCCTCAGCTCTGAACAAAAAAAAAATATTTATATGAATTTTTAACGATTTTTGCTACGAACAAGTTGTGTTCTAGCAAAAATTTGTTAATGCAAAGATCAACAAAATTTTGATGTTATTTGCAACAATAGTTTAGTGTTGTCTCGACTCGCTCGCGAACAATAACTTGTTCACAACATACAAAATTGTTCAACAAACCGTTACAAATGTTTAGAAAAAGTATCAAATTGATTACCTAAGTATACATGAAAATATAATGAAGTCATCAAACTTTTTAAAAGTGCAATTAACCCCTTTTACAAGTTAAAATCGTGCAATAATACTAAAATGACACATGCTAAATTATCAATCACCTTACTTATGCAGGTTTTTTTTTTTTTTTTTTTTTTTTTTTGTGTATAATTGCACGATGTTAATTTGTTAAATGGTAAGTCTAATTTTTTTTTTTTTATAGTTTGATGACCCAAATTCCTTTTCATGTATAGTTGAGTGACTTATATGACTTTTTCATGGTATATTGAATTGATCAACCCCTCACCATTTGAATTCACCGAAATATAAACATAGAGAATGATAGACCTTGGTCACGCACACCTTAGGAGAGTAATAATACTAACAAACCATACACAACCACTTATTATTTTTCTCCACTAATTGATATCACTTTTGGATATACTGTTTCATGGTATATTTGGTTGATCAACCCCTCACCATTTGAATCTATCATTGTCAAATTAATTTCTCAATGTTATCATTAGAGTGCGATATTTTAATCATAGCATGGATTTAAATTAACAAATCAATATTGACAATTAGACTAGTGTGTCAATTGAACATATGTATAAGCTAACCAACCCAACTGTTTCATGAGTAACATATCATATTTAAAACTCAATTAACTAGATGGTCGTTGGTCGATATTGAATTAATCTTATTAAACGTAACTTGTCAATCTAGTTTAATTATATAAATAAATAATAAAGAATAGTTTGTATTTATTAGTTAGATTAAAAAATATTTTCGTATTAACAAATGTTATTACATATAAGAAAAATAACACTTTTTTTCTTGAGTTATATGCTTATAATACTTTTTTTTCTCTGAATTATTTATATATAAAATGCTTATAGCACTTTGTTAATAAATGTATAAAATGATGTTACGGAAATCCATAAAAAAAAAAGGAAAATACTTGGTATACTCCCAACTTGTACTCTCTCTCACATGTTCTTGATGTAGACATTTTTATGTGGATCCACATGTTGAAAATAATCAATCCTGATTTGCCACCTCAGGGAGTACAATTTGGGAGTCTATGTAGTAGAAGTCAAAAAAAAATGTGTGAAGTTATGATATGGACTATGTTATTGTTGGGTAGGTGTAATGCTTGCTTGCCAGTTGCCATACTTGCATGTTTTTCTTCATTCTAAAATTACTCCACATAGGTGTTTGGTCAAAAGTTATCCTTTAGGTCAATAAAATAATAATTTAAATGAAAAACTAATTTATTTATTTCCGTATGCTTTTATATATATATATATATATATATATATATATATATATATATATATATCTAAAAACATAATAAGTGTGAATGAAGGTTATACCCTTCATTTATGTCCAATTTTTCCGTTAAGTTTTTTAATACATTATGCTATAAATGTTGTGCTTTATAATATTTTGGACAAATAAACCCACACCGTTATAATTTCCGTTATCTTTTCCACAATTGTTACCATGCACATGCATCCATCATATATTTTCTTATATTCTTCAATAATAATAATATATATACATTATAATTTGGAGTTATTTCCTACAATATAAATATCAAATGTATAAAAATGTTTACTATATTATTATTATTATTATTATTATTATTATTATTATTATTTATAATAATTTAAATATCAAAAATCTTAACATAAAATACTAATATTGAGCACATATTTTTTGCGCATCACGCATAAAAAAATATTAGTATATATATATATATATATATATATATATATATATATATATATATATATATATAAACTAATCAAACATTATTTCTGCATAGTAGTATGTAAATCATACAATAAAGATAAATTATGATGCCATCAATAGTTTATTATTATTTTTTTTTGAACATTCTAAACCTTCATTACTGTATTCGAATCTATGATCACTAATTTAGAATGATCATCAGAATGTCATGATAGTTAATATGATGTCATCAATCTATAAGATAGAGTAGAGAGTATTTGATACATCGAAAATTTACCCCAAAGTGAAACTACATAATTGCACGGGAAAAATACTATATGTACTTTCATTTTTTTACTCTCAACTTGTATTCCCACACATAAAATATTGATGTAGACATTTGTATTGGATCCCACATAAAAAAAAATAGCTTATCAAAATTTGTCACGTCAGGAAATAAAATTTAGGAAGTAAGATTAGGGAGCATAGAACTCTTGCATGGTGGTAAAGACGTGTGGAGATCTGATTGGGTGCACTGAAAAGGAAGTGTAGGACCCATGCCCACCGATTTGAGGAACAGCACGTCGAGCTACCCTCCACGCGAAAGCGCGTGATTAGCGTGCCACAAACTGTACGTCGCAATACCGAATGTCACCGGCAATGGGTCCCACCGTGCGTGCGAAGTAGATCAACGGTTTTAAATTCGTCTGTCACAGACGAATCAATGCCCATTTTTCACCTCACGGTAGTGAAACAAGCCTTGTCGCACAAAAGCGAGCCACTTTCAGCTACTCGCGACCCTACCCTCCCCCACAATCCCCAACCACTCACCATTCGCCACATGGGCACAACTACCCAACTAACTCTCCGAACTCCGCGAAACCGCAACACGTGGCGGCGGCCACAAAGCGGGTGTACCGTAACAACCTCTCCCGAACCCCACCGTAGCAAAACCGCGGATTACATACTAAAAATAAAAAAAAAGGGGAAAATATAAAGAAGATTTGAGGGGGTGTTGTGTATTGTGTGTCCCCATCTCTCTCTCTCTCTTTTCTCTCTTCTCTCTCTCTCAGGACAAAGGTTTGTGACTCTTCTCCTCATTCTCTCTGTTCTGCGCTCTGTTTTCTCTCTATCGCTGAGAAACAGGAAAAAAAGAAATGAGATAAAAGAGAGACGCGTATATACACTGCATAGAAAGAAAGAAAGAAAGATAAATACACAAGAAGTAATCCAAGGCATATATATATATATATATATATATATATATATATATATATATATATATATATATATATATATATATATGTATATATATAGATATTGCAGTCTTCTTTGAAAGAGGCATGGGCTGTTTCTCTTGTTGCGGTGATCCATCAATAGATAAAAAGGGGAAAAAGAGAAGCGCGACGAGCAAAAGGGGCGAAAACAAGCGGGACGATCAAGCGCAGCCGGCCTCGGGTATGATTTGATCCTCAATTTGATGGAAGGAAACGTTAATTCCTGTGGAGAATTTTGTTCATTTTATTGTGCATTTTGATTTCCGGGGTGTGAAATTCAATTCGGGGAGATGTTTTGTTTCGTCTTTGCTCTTAATTTGTACGAGTGCATTCGTTTTTGGTGATTTTGTTTGGGAATTTTCTTGGATCATGTGTATATTGAAGCTCATTTGAATTCACAGTTATAATTCTGGAGCTTTTGCGTTTCATTTATTGTTTAATTCCCAACTGTAACTTATATATGTTGATTTTTTATGATCTGTATTTGTGTAGGTTCATTGCCCAGTTTGAATTTTGGGTAAGTTTTGTGTTTCGACTTCTGATTCATAAGTTTCCTTTAGGGAGAGCCTGTTCTATGCGTACCATTAGTTTTTCCTAGGATGTTCTAGAGGGAGTGATTGTTGCCTTTGCTGATAATGTTTTTAGTGAAAATCCAATTTAAGTTTCTCTTTTTTAGTGTTTTATTGATTGATTGATTGCCTTTTTTCTACAATTTCTTTTGATTATACTCCTTAACAGTTGTTCTTTATGAGAATCAATCTAGAATCATTATTTTGGCTTTATGCCCTTTTACTATTTGTTCTTGAAATGGGCCATTCTCTTTTGTGTTTTATGTGTTGACTTTGTGTTTCTGGTTTAGATACACCAAGGGTGAGCCCGTTAAAGGGTGTGAAGGAGGAGCCTAATGATGCAAACCAATCTACCTCTGGCAAGGAAGAGGGTTGCTGTCAAAGGAATTCTGGAGATGTGGATACAGAGAATATCAAGGCAAGGCCATTTAATTTTTCCGAATTGGTGGCTGCCACAGAAAACTTCAACCTGGAATACTTTTTGGGTGAAGGAGGATTTGGCAAAGTTTATAAAGGTCGACTGGTAGATACCAGCGAGGTTAGTTAATGGAATTTGTTAGTTGTCATTCAAGTGTAGATTTTGTGACTTGCAACTACTGCTTTGATTGGTATTTCTCTTATTGCCCTTTTGGTGGGTGCTTTTCATGTATACACTACTTTTTTGGTATTAGCAGGAGGTAGCTATTAAGCAACTTGATCGCAATGGATGTCAAGGGATTAGGGAATTTGTTGTTGAAGTGTTGACCTTGAGTATGGCAGACCACCCTAATCTTGTTAAGCTAATTGGTTATTGTGTGGAGGGTCCACAAAGACTCTTGGTTTACGAGTATATGCCTCTTGGTTCATTGGAAGACCATTTACATGGTATGCCCATACCTTAATATTTTGTTGTCAACTCTGCTGTTCCTTTCTGTTCAGTGCTCTTGCTGCTTGCTACTCTTTTCTTTTTTTTTTTTTTTTTTTTTTTGTTTGGTTGGGGTGATTGTATTTATTTATTTAAAAATTTGAAGACCGTCGACCAAGTAGAAAGCTTCTTGATTGGAATACAAGAATGAAGATAGCCGCTGGTGCAGCAAGAGGCCTTGAGTATTTGCATGACAAGATGAAGCCTCCTGTGATATACCGTGATTTGAAAGGCTCCAACATCTTGCTCGGGGAGGAGTTTCATCCCAAATTATCTGATTTTGGCTTGGCCAAGGTTGGTCCAATTGGAGACAAAACCCACGTCTCCACCAGAGTAATGGGCACATATGGGTACTGTGCACCAGATTATGCTATGACTGGTCAATTAACATTCAAATCCGATATATACAGCTTTGGGGTTGTTCTACTGGAGCTCATCACCGGCAGGAAAGCAATCGACAACACGAAATGTTCTGCAGAGCAAAATCTTGTCGCATGGGTAAGTTTTATTTACTTCCTATGCATCATTCCAAATCCCCAGTTAACCACATTTTTATTGATCTTACTGTGATAAGACAACATTGTTTGTTCTTAACCTCCACTCCTCCAGTCCTTTCTTGCTTTTCAATTCTTGTTGCTTTTGATCGGTAGTGTTTTAGCCACTTGGATAATGCTTGTTCAAGTGAAGGTTGTTGTTTCTAGTGACCAGGACAAGATAAAAAAGTGTTGCTACCACTAAAGCTTAAAGCTTCCTTCTTGAGTAAGTTCATGTATCGGAATCATCTTTTCTTTTACACATTCTAGTACATTCTGGGCAGTCCACATGCTTCTGTGCCATACAAAATGAGTTTTTCAGCACAGTTGATTTAAAGACTTGGGCCACATGTTAAGTATCCAAAGTTACTCATATCTTTTCCCTTCTCCCCTTTTCTTCTCCTTTTTTTTTTTTATTTTTTAAAAACATATTTCTGTTACCTTTGTAGTACATCTCACTTGTGTCTAAAGAGCTTGCTTTAAGGTTCATACCTAGTAGGTAATCAGTAATCCCTCCTTGTTTTCACCCAGGAAATATCACCATTTACCTTGAGCTGTGGCTGATAATTATTTCTGAACTTTTTGTAACCTTGTAACTGTTTTAACTTGCTGACGGGGTTTCTCATGGATGGTATACAAGCAAGATTTATGATTCTTTTCTTAAACCTTTTCTATACTAAATTATTGAACAATGTCTTGGTTTGATTACAATGCATCTGCAAAATTCCTTGATTAAACCTTTTCTCCTTTCTCTGTTATTTGATTATATTATATGCAAACAACAGGTAGGGGTGGGGGACTAACCATCCAAAATTCGGTTTTTGTTTGCAGGCACGGCCATTGTTCAAAGACAGGAAGAAATTCTCGGTGATGGCAGACCCAGCGCTCCAAGGTCATTATCCAGTGAGGGGACTATACCAGGCGCTAGCAATAGCTGCAATGTGCGTGCAGGAGCAACCGAACATGAGGCCTCTGGTGGCTGATATAGTGACCGCTTTGAATTACCTGGCCGCCCAAGAGTACGACCCACAAAACCCGCCATCTCAAGCCTCCCGAAGAACGTTGTCTTCTTACAAGTCCATAAGCGATGCCGAGAAGTTTTCTAATCCCTGTGATGTGGTGGAAAAGAGTGAGAGAGAAGATTGAAAGGACACACCATTTTCTCTGCAAATGGTGAAAGGCTTTGCCTGGTTATCAGTTTTGTGCAACATTTGATGATAACAGGCAGGCTGCTCGAAAATCATTGGATCGAGCTTTCTTTTTGCACGAGCAAATGTGATTTTAGGACTTTGACACCAACAATAAAAATTACAAAAAAAAAAAGGGTAGGAACTTCTCTATCTTTAAGAAATTTGATATACAAAAAATGATTGATGACAGATGACGTATCTTTAGGCTAGATTTTTCAAGATCCAGTGTTATGAATATTCTCTGTATTATAGGGAACAGAGAGAGGGAGGAGAGAAACATGTTTGTTTGTTTGTATGTTATACAAACCACCAATGCGTCATTCACAAATCAGATCATATATTTTCAAAAAAAAAAAAAAAAAACACACACAAATCAGATCATATGCACACACATATTTACTTGCATTTTATTATTTGTGGCATTGCTACCGACAGAGTACGCGACACATTTACATCATCTCATTTTATTTTATTTGTAGGGATAAGATATGTTAATATTCAGATTTTATTAGATTTTCTAGACAATTGGACTCGTTTACCAACTGAAAAATTAGTTCTTGAAAACTAGAGCTATTAAAAACGGTTTCTTAAATGAAAAACGGAATCAATTATCATCTATTTGGCTATTTGTCACTATAACTATATTCTCACCATTATCTACTTACATATTTATTACTATCAGTCTATCACTACATTCATTATCATCTTCTTTTACTTATCACCATCTTTTATCTTTTATACTTGCATTATTTATTTAAACATAACTTATTTGTTTATGTTTAAAGTTAGGCATTAATCACATTATCAAAATTAAAAATTGAACTACATATCAACATTTATATTTTGATTGAACTCAATTGATTATTTGTTTAGATATTTTTAGTTATGTTATATCGTAATACAATTTTGGTCTGGATATCAAATATTGAAATTTTACATATATTACTATATTAGAATTCAAAGTAAAAATTATATATTTATATACATGTCATTCAAATGAATATATCTAAAAATATGTTAAATATAATATTAATATTATCTAAACTAAATTTTAGATAAATTTAATACGTTATTAGTTTATATATTTTAGTTATTTTATATACAATTATAAATTTCGTTTCGATATTAAATATAAAAAATCTTACATATATTAGACTTAAAAGTACAATTATATTTACTCTATTTAAAACAAATATATTATAAAATAGTTTAAATATAAAGTCCAAAGATGATTGAAAATTAAACATATGTTAATTTTATAATGTTAATCTAAAAATTAAATTTAAAAAAATAAGGGTCAGTTAACAAGTTTTCTAAATACAAATTAAAATGTCATCATTGTGTCGATTTATTCTTGGTTGTGAATTCCAAGGATACTAAACATATTACATATACAATATTTGTTAATATCAATAGTTTGAAAAATCTTCCTTTCAGTCCTTTAATTGTTTTGAGCTATACATTTTTTTTTAAATGTTTACAAATGGTAATTTAATTATTAAACGAGTTGTAAATTTAGTAATTAGTATATCGACTAATTGAGACATCAGTTTCGTCATACAAACAGAGCTTAGTGTCAATCTCGATTAGTCAATGGACTAAATGTGTTATCTTTTTTTTTTTTAGGGGTACCCAAATAATCTAATAACCTCTCCTAATAATCCTTCTAGTTCTCACAATCCCCATTCCCCAGCCTGTCATCTTGGACTGCTTTCCTTGCATGGAGTGGGGGGAAAGCCACGTTCAACCCACTCTTGCTCCTCATGGGCTGCAAAGTTGACAAAATGATGATGTTTTGCTCAGGTGACAATTAAAAAAGCATATTTGTAAAAATTAAAAGACAATGTTTACTCGAGAATTATTAGAGCATTCTCAATGTATAGTTTTTACACAAGTTTTTAGGAGCTAAATAGAATAGAGGCAAAAAAAAAATAAAAAGCAAAAAAAAAAAAATTTGAGGGTGGTCGCCAACTCAATACGCTCAGTGGGCGCGACTGGTGCGCACTAGTAGTACTTTGTTTTTTTTTTTTTTTTTTTTTTGGTCCCACTAATTTAGAGACAAAAACCAGTTTCTTATTCAAGGATCTTCCATCTTCTCTTCCCTTTCTCTCTTTCACTTAAGCTAAAACTTTCTCAAAAATCACCCTAAAAACTCTATTGGGGCTGCTCTTAAGAGATATAAAACAAAATATCATTTTTATGGGGTCGTTTGCTTCATGAAATATTAGATTGCTGAAAATGTTAGATTACTGAGAATGTTAGATTCATATATTTGGCTAATATTGAGGTATGTAATATAAACCTCTTTGATTTAGGGGTTATCTTTTATATATATATATATATATATATATATATATATATATATATATATATATATATATATATATATATATATACACACTCTCTCTCTTTTACTTTAATACCCTTAACATATTTTCATATATTTTAATAAACTTAAAAATTAAAATAAATAAATAAGATAACGGTATATCATATAATTACATGATTTAAAAGTAATTAATTAAAATCTTAAACTTAAGAAATAAAATTATTTTATAAACTAATATTACGTAATAATAAAATATACAATTACAAAATAACTATATATATATATATATATATATATATATATATATATATATATATATATATATATATATATATATATATATATATAATATTTATTTTATAATAATTAAAATTAAAATGACAACAATTGTAAATATCCAATGTAATTTTAGATAACCTAAGAAGGATAAGAGAATCACATTCTTCTCAAAATTCTATGTAGATGGTAGGTTGCACGCCTTCCTTTGGGAATGTTATATTCCCTTAGGAAAGTAAGATAATATGAAGCAGAGATAAGAATGTAAGCTTTGGAATGTCACATTTCCTTGATTATGTTGTATAACTTGAACCAAACACCCCTAAGATAACTAAGGTTATATTTGTTGGTGAATATAATATTCTCATGTTTGGTTCATGTTATGTAATTTTCTCAGGGAATGTCACATAACCTTCACATAAAGGTTTTACCTATTGGAAGGGAATGTGAGATATTCTTCATTTTTTTTATAGGTATTTTCACATTCCTTTATCTTATTACTAATTATGAATTTTTAGCATTGTAATCAATTTTTCTTATTACCATTGCCTTATTTATATACCTCAGTTTAAAAGCAAACACAAGAGTCTAACATTTCCAACAATTTAACATTTTTTATAGGATAATGTAACATTCTGTGAACCAACCGTCCTCTTAAGGTTTTAACACTTGTAAGCAACATCATTTGGGACAGCATTTTCCTTAATGTTTGATATCATTAACATCGTCGATTGTTTGTGTTATTCTAAAATGTGAATACTACTGGATTGTATAATCATAAAATACATTATCTTACTCTAAAAATTTCATTATTCTAACACATAAAGTATATTATAAATTATCCTAACTCATAGAATACATTATTCTAATACGTAAAGTATATTATTCTAACTCATAAAATACATTATCTTACCCTATAAATTTCATTATTCTAACACATATAAAGTACATTATCCTAACTCATAAAATATATTATTTTATCTCAGAATGTTCTTGATTCTAACACACACATGAAATAATAATTTTTTTAATATCAAAACAACGTCGTTTTAGAACTTGGTCTACATATCTGTGTAGACCGTTCCATGAAGATTGGGGTGGATTTCGGGCCCACAAAGGACATATCTGGAAGAGATTATTGGGCCAAATGGCAATCCGATGTGACCCGACCTGCCTCTGCTTCTAAACCAGATAAGATTAACCGTAATGCAAATCACGTGGGCCGGGCCCACCACATGCTAAGCCCACCATTCTCATTTTCGGCACTTTACTAGATTACTAGCGACATCAATAGAGAAAGCCTGTCCCTAAATTATCGGGGTATTCTTGGAAATCACACACTGCATTGGATATTTTCCTTATATGGGATTAATATACTTTTTTTTTTTTTTATTGATGTGATGAATGCTGATTGTTACAGAAAAAAAGAAGTCACAATTTCTTTTTTTTTTATTTTTTAATATTCATGAATGGAATGATATGACACGAGTGTCTTTCAACTCATCGAGAATATATATGATTAAATAAAAAAAATAAAAATTTTCACAATCACTGTTATTCTTTAGTTGTTCATAACTGATTGATTTAAATTAAAATTATAAAAATTAAATTTATAATCTTGTAGTTATTAAGTTAACAATCTAACCGACCTGATTAGAGTTGCCATGAAATATAAAAATCTCCCATTTCAAATAATTTCGGAAAATACAAATTTACAGCTATTACGATGTATCCACATGCTGCTGTCCTAATAAGGTTAAGAATATATGTCCTATCTACACTGTATGGGGCATTTCAATCCCCTCATAATACATTTGTACATTATGTATTTCCATCTTAATTTATAAAAAATTTACACCCAAAACATTAACTATTTTTACCCACTAAATTTTAGAGTTGAGTAACTTTTGAAATAAATTTGCAATAATAAGTTAAATATGTACTTATGAACAAATACTACATTGTAACAGAGTCTGTAGCACTATATATATATATATATATATATATATATATAGTTTCATTTATATCAGAATAATTACAAAACAGGACAACTTCCGGTTAACTTGTTCAAATAATTAATTTAATAATGTGCATTCGGATAGTAACGGTGAACTTTGACTAAAAATCTATTGGTGGTAATAATTAAAAAGATGTTTATGCCTTTTTGAAACCAATTCCGTGTTTCTTGGCCTAACTTTGTCCATCTAGTACAAGATTATAAAAGTTGTTCGATCTTGCACCTATTAGACTAAACTTTAAGTACTACTATATTTGGATTCTTTTTTCCTTAACGACAATTCTGAGTATGTTCAAAATCCCATTAATGTGTTGCATCAATGTATATTACAACAACATTACATATAAAAGCTAGCTAGGTTACCTATCCTTTACCAAACATAATAAACAACATTAGGTTTCCCGGCAATGAGAATTTTTTTCTAATTTTAAGACAATCAAGATTATATGAAAGAGAGATAAAATGAGATCGAGCAAAAAAAACATGATTTTTTTTAATTTTTTTTTTTATAGAGCTAGTGTGCATTGCTCGCACCACTGCTACCCAATAGGGGTCATGGTAGCTACCAACAGGTGACTACCCTAACTTTTTTTCTCTCACTTGACAGATTAATTTGACAAAACTAAAATTAAGTTCAGCCATTGTGGTTCTTATATTCATATGCATGTGGACATGATGGGTTTGAAAGGCTATCATAATTAAGCATGAGAAGCCTAACTAAGAATGTCACCATGACATTACATCTTGCCATGTGAACTTGTGGTTGTACAAGCATGGGAACCCAAACCCTTTTGCACAGTACAATCACTCCATGCATCTTCTTACTTTTCCATTTTTCATTATTATGATGAGAGTATATACCCTCATAATTTTCATATATTTAATTTTATTTTTTGTTTTTCCTAATAATTGAGGTTCCCAAATTTATAGGCCTTGTAGCTTAGCTTCTCTCTCAGAATTTTGTTTCAAATTCTTCATTTGAAAGCTAAGGCTCAGAGCAAGCCCACGTCACCATCTTCTCTGATATTCGGCTGGTATATATACTCTCATGGAATTTTCAATCATTTATTGTGATTTTAATTATTATCTTCCTCCCTTCCTTCATACTTTTTAGTACATTTAATTTAATTTGTATCTAATCAATCAACTAAGATATGGTACATATATACTGCTCTTTTCATCCTCTGAACTAACATATTCTGTCATTTATTATTGCATCTTTTTCTTAATTTGCTCCAAGTGTTATTAGATTATTAAATTATTAAAGTAATTTAAACTAACATGATGTATCTTGGACACGTGTTGCTGCGGGCACTCTAACTTATAATATAATTAAATAGTGATTTAGTGAGAGACATTATTGTAAGGCTAAGCTCATGCATTATATTAGAGATTAGATGTACGTTTTATTTATTTGTTTCTTTGAGTGACGAAGAAAACATACAGTCACTAAAAGATGTAGTGCAGGAGGTAAATCAGTTTAGGTTACTTATAATTGATCTATTTAAACTACGGAAGTAATAAGTCTTTCTTGTTGGGAGTCAGATTTATAACCTTGTAGCTATCAAGTCAATAGTCTGACCAATTTAACTAGGGTTATCCTCTACATTTTATTAAGTTGTTATGATGAATAGATGAGGATTTATATGGTATCATTCCATACTAGTATTTTTTTGTACTAGATTCAGTAATATATGTTATAATAATTTAGCTTGTATCAGATATGCCAACTTTAGTTGTACAATATATATCTGACGTAACAAAACGTATTATACTTAATACAAAAGACACTGATATCAATATTTTATACTAACCAGGAGATCTGACTAAAATTAGATTTATGTCCGCTATTATCATGACAACAAAAAGAGGTGTTATGTATAATAATGTACCTTAAATAGCGGCTACAAGACATGTATTTTTGGTATGTATGTTTTAGCAAACCCTAGTTAACTATACTATGTATATATATAGTACTTATTATTGTGAAAGCCATGATCGGTATAAATTGACATAAATATCCTCGGAAATGTGAGGCCTTCAAAAGTTTTGACCTATAGTAGCACACATGATTCTTGACTGTGGTTGCTTGAGATGTCCCTTTTGCCCCTTAGCTATGGCGTTATTGACTTCCCAAGTCCCTCCGTCATGGCCCCTTCTTTTGCTTGACTTGTTATTGTCACACGCAGAGAGCAGTAACAAAATCTCATTTTCCGCACCAAGTCTTAACCTTTTCATGCATGTCTTATCATTTTCTAGTGTGACACGTCTAGCTGCCATCAACCTTATATTATAAAAAATAAGTATTTTTTAAATAAATCTGGCCTTGTGATCCTAGCTAGCCAGCAAAGAATTATAAGGGGATGAATCAACCCAACCAACTTGTCTAGGGTTGACTGGGTTGCCCAATAAAAATAGTGTTAAAGCATACATGGTTATATTTGATACAAATCGACACGACGATGATCATCACTTTAATTAGAAATTTTTTAGCTATGAACCGTGTATAAAGAAGGAAAAAAAATTTAATGAATTAGGTCTTGTCAATTGGCAAAAATCAGCAATAATGCTCTTAACTATTTGTCTAGTACCTTACAAATAAAAATTTATTTTAGAATTTTAATTCATCATATGATATGACATTGACCCGCACTTGCTCTTAAAATTCAATGAAAGAGCAGTGCTATATGTCCGCTTCATATTGGACCGTAATGTAACTATTACTTGTCAAATACACCTCAACCAACGTTCAATATATAAAATATATAAAATATATATGTTCTCGTTATCCATTCAAATTTTTAATTGAGATAAAATATATGATTTAATTTTAGATTTTATAGATGGAAAGTCTTTAATTGTACTTTGGAAGTATATATATAAGATGGGTGAATATTTAATTTATTGCATGAATGTGTGGTTTATGTAGATTTGGTTGGAAGCAGAAATAATGGAGTCGCCAGGCCAGGGACAACAAGGCAAAAAATCAGCGATTCTGCCGCCACTGCCGAGAGATTCCCGCGGCTCGCTCGAAGTCTTCAACCCCTCAACCTTCTCTTCACGCGCCGCCAGCCCGGTTTTCCAGTCGTGGAAGAGCTGGGAAGATGATCCGCCGCCGCCGCCGCCACCGCCGAGAGTCGGTAGTCCTGAATTACTGGAACACCCCAAAGTCTTCTCCGGCGGCACTTCTGGTAGAGCTAATAATGGTGCGGAAATCACGTCGTGGATGGCCCTCAAGGACCCGAGTCCGCCGGCGCCGGCGCCGGCACAACTCTCGGCGTCCCCGGTGAAGGACGAGGTCGGAACCGCCGCTCAAAGGGCGGCGGAGTGGGGACTGGTGTTGAAGACAGACGACGAGACTGGTAAACTTCAGGGGGTTAAGGTTAGAACCTCCGGCGAAGAGGGGTCTAAACGGGATTCCGGAACCTCCGTCCGAAGCTCCGGTGAAACGTACGAGGATGGAACCGGTAACCTCACCTCGTAATTTTCAATCTTTTACTCCGAATATAATCCTCGTAGGATGTAATAACTATATATATCCATTAAAATGCAGGAAAAGAAAAAGGAATCCCAAGAATCTCAGAGGATTTGAGGGATGCGTTATCCACATTTCAACAAACATTCGTGGTGTCGGATGCAACCAAACCCGATTACCCGATTATGTACGCCAGTGCCGGCTTTTTCAAGATGACCGGTTACTCCTCCAAGGAAGTCATCGGCAGGAATAGGTAAGAATTACCTTTTTTAACTGTCATAACGGTAATTCAAAAATTATTTTTTAAATTTTTTTTGGCTGGTTTGGTTGGGTGGGACCAGTCGGTTCTTGCAAGGTGCGGACACAGATCCAGAGGACGTGGCCAGGATCCGGGAAGCTTTACATTCGGGTTCAAGTTATTGTGGAAGGCTACTCAATTACAAGAAAGACGGCACACCTTTTTGGAACCTTCTCACTATTACACCCATCAAGGATGAAACCGGAAAAATTCTTAAATTTATTGGGTAAGTATACTTTCGCTTTACTTATCAATAAGTATTTGGTTTAATTATATATTTCACAAATTTCACCAAAATTAACATACAGTTTTTTGGTAATTAAAAAAAAAATATATATATATATATATATATATATATATATATATATATATATATATATATATATATATATATATATATATATATATCATGCAACATTTATTTTGAAAAGTAAATATATAGGCTTCATATGGTCCTAAATTCTAATTTTGTTGATCAAAATAAAAGAGCAATCAGCTGATTAATGGAAGTAGCTAGCAGTGCAACTTGTCTCTTATCTCTCTTCAATAATTTGGCCTTTTTTGGGGTATATTGGCCACGTACTCCAAAATCCTTTTCAATATACCTAATAAAATTCAATGCATGTGAGATTGAAAATTTTGGACCGATTATATAATTGTGAGAGTTTATAGATTAATTGAGATATATTTTGTAATTTACCCCATTAATCATCGTGAAAAATCCTTAATTTTATGGTTCAAACTTATGTTTAAGCCTTGAAGGAGATCAGACCCTTTTTGCTTCTATAATTAGGTTGTTTATGGAAATCATAACCCAAAAAGAATTTATAATGCTTAAACCGTACATTTTGAAGATTTTGATATTTTATTCACTAAATTTTGTAGGAATTTTCATTTTATTTCATTTATAACACGTGTTGTTATGATTTTTATTAGTCAATTGATTATTGATTATGAATTTATTAATTTAGATTAGATCATACCATTATTATAGAATCAGTAGCATTTAAAAAAAAAAAAATTAGATACCAAGTGGTTTGTGGTCTACTGATATCGGATTGTTCTTTTATGTGGGAAGTTTAGGTTTCGAGCACTAAATAATATTAAGGGAAAAAAATATCCACTTATTTATATTCCTTTTCATCTATTCCACATGACTGGTCTTTTTCACGTGAGAAACTTTAAAAATAAGATGACGAAGGCATATTTATCTCGTACGTTGCTTTCTTTAGGAATATAAAAGATTTAAGTATTCTTGATGTATTATGTGGTTCTATATTCTTTTAATCAATTAATGGAATATTAATATTTTAAAATTTATTTAATATACTTGAAAATTAAAGATGAAATTATTATACTAATTTGAGATAAAATCAATCAAGTAATTAATTGTTACTCCGGTATAAAATAATAAAAAGAATTTTTACTGAGGCAAAAACACACCATTAAGGGCGATGATTATTAGCTATAAACCAACATCCTATGTTTTATTTAAAATTTTTTAAAAAAATATACGACGTCGTATCATTTATTTATTACGTCAGTCAGAACGACGTCGAAAAAAAAAAATTCAACGTCGTATGTTTCAAATAACTTATGTTAAAAGTGTTATTTGTAGTAGTGATATGAATAAGGTGTAATAATTGATCTACCAAACTTGTTGTACTGTACACGATGATTCGATGAAGATCAATGCAGCATTTAGTGTATATAAAAGGAACAATGAAAAGTTGTGTGGAATCTAGGAGTAATTACTATACAAAGTTTGTACATGCCAATGGCCACAATAATTCTTTGATAAAATCACATGTGAGCCTCCCCTCCGGTCGGTCCACTTTCAATATGGGTAGGTGAAACACTAGTTTCATTGCCCCCCATAACATGTTATTCAACTTTTCAATGTCTCCATTGTATTCATTTTCATGCAATTAATTATTGTTCCCACAATAATATTTATACACTACCTACTAGTTTAGTAGTAAATTATATTACGAACACAATAATCTTGTGGTTTAATGTCACTTTTGATCTTTGAGTTGAATTTATCAAATTTGTCTGTCTATTTATTAAAGATTATGGTGTACTTATAGTTCTTTATCAATTTTTATGAACGAATTGTGACACATTCATAATAGTTTGGGGATTAAGAATAATACATTTTTAATGATGGGTGAATCAAATATAGTTGATTTTGAACTAAAAACGAATAATAGGAGTGAAAAAAAAAAAAAAAAGTAAATGTAGTGACAAGATGATTTTGGACATGTTTGGCAGAATGCAAGTGGAGGTTAGCAAGCACACAGAGGGCTTCAAGGAAAAAATGGTCCGTCCAAACGGACTTCCTGAATCATTGATCCGTTATGACGGTAGCTATCTACTCCAAAATTACTCTTTTAATTTCCACTTTTATTATTGTTATTATTTTTTATACACTCTAACCTACCAAGTAATATCTTTATTATTATTTTTTTTGTAAAAAGTGTCAAATAAATTACTGAACTAACTTACCGTTAGATGAAATTCGAACCTGAAACTTTTTTTAATATTTTAAAAAGGAAAAAAATGAAAATTCTTATGTAGTGAATTCACGTTATTATTTACAGCTCGGCAGAAGGAAGCTGCGGCGAGTTCAGTTGTGGATATAGTGGAGGCGGTGAAGAAACCCGGCGCCCGGGCAAGGGCGCTCAGCGAATCCACTTATCGTCCCCTCATCAGGAAGTCCGGCGGCGGCACTGATCAAGAACGTTCCGACGCCCTCGGAAACTCCAATTCCGACTACAAACCTCCCCCGCCGGCGCCGCCTAGACGCCACTCCCACGCCGGCACCAGAACCACGTTAATGGAGAAGATAAGTGAGGTTCCCGACAAGAAGCCAAAGAAAACTAGCCGCCTCTCCTTCATGGGGTACATATATAAATATATATATACATGCATGCATGCATGCATGTATGGATTACAGTAATTAAGCCGGTATCTTTTTCACGCTAGCTAGCTAACTTTATTATCGTTTTTGTTATTGTAGAATGTTAAAGAAACCTCGTCCTAGTAGTAATAGCGACGAATTTGAGGCAAGTGTTACAATGTTCGAGGATGACGACGACGACGATGAAGAGAGCGACGACGATGCACGACCGGACAGCGTTGACGACAGAGTGAGGAAGAAGGAAATGAGAAAGGGTCTTGATTTGGCCACCACGCTTGAACGTATAGAGAAGAACTTTGTCATCACTGATCCTAGGCTGCCGGATAATCCCATTGTAAGACCACTTTAGTTTCATTCTCAACAGAATTTTAGTTCTTAAACATTTTAATTTAGTGTTCGATATATATTGCATTTATGATCAGATATTTGCGTCGGATAGCTTCTTGGAGCTTACGGAGTACAGTCGTGAAGAAATTCTGGGAAGAAATTGCAGGTTTCTCCAAGGACCAGAAACCGATCCGGCGACGGTACGGAAAATCAGAGAGGCAATTGATACACAGACTGACGTCACCGTGCAGCTCATTAACTACACCAAGAGCGGTATTGTATACAAATTATCAGTTTTTTTGGTTTTTGTTTTTTGGTCATTGGAAACTCGCATCCATTATTGGAGAGTGTGTATTGAATAAATTAGAGGTTATTAGTCAATCAGACTGTATAATGAATATCTGTATCTCACCAATACAGGTTTATATAGTCTGATTGACTAACAATTTAGATCTAACAGTTAGTACTCGAGGGTGTACATCGGTAACTTGTGACCCTAGAGGGTAAGGACAGGTCTTATCTATAGCTGACCAACTTAAATTAAGAAGACTAATAAGCCAGATTAACTTGGGTTTTTTCCCCAATTATCAGCTTTTGAATGCTGAAAACATGTTCATATAATTAAGTAAGATGACATGGAATTCTTTACTTTCTTCTGAAATATAGGCAAGAAGTTCTGGAACTTGTTCCATCTGCAACCTATGCGTGATCAAAAGGTATCAACTTTAATTTTTCCTTAAAAACAGCAGGTCGGTCTAATGTAATTCTTTGATGCCAATTATGTATGTGTTTCGATCTTCCTGTGTTGGGTGTAGGGAGAGGTACAGTACTTCATTGGAGTGCAACTGGACGGCAGCCAACATGTAGAACCTCTTCACAACTGTATTCCAGAGGACAAGGCGAAGGAGAGTGCTCAGCTGGTTAGTTTAACTCTCAACTCTACCATGATGTTTTTTGGTTTAATATAATATAATATATTGTGGTTCATGGGATTCTGAAACATAAAGTTTGTGTCTTTCAATTTCTTGTCTGTTTAGGTAAAAGAAACAGCTGAAAATGTTGATGAAGCAGTCAGAGAGCTCCCAGATGCCAATCAGGTAATGCCCAGATCAGAGTCTTGAAAACACAATTTCTTTTGGTCTAAAACTATGAAGCTTACAAATTCTTTGACCCAACCAACCTGCAGAAACCAGAGGATTTGTGGGTTAATCATTCAAAGGTGGTTCACCCAAAGCCTCATAGGAAAGACAGCCCATCTTGGAAAGCCATTCAGAAGGTATATATAGTGTTCTTCAGTCCACACTATTCTGATCTCAATTATCAGCTTAGCATTTTAGTTCAGATGGAGCACCCGCTTCAATTTGGTATCAGAGTTAACCCAGACCTAAAAGATAAACTATAGTATCAGCTTAGACTTTTAATTGAAATGGAATACATGCTTCAATTTTCTATGGTATTTGGTTTATGGTGTGATTGCAGATTCTAGAGAGTGGAGAACCAATAGGTCTGAAGCATTTTAAGCCGGTAAAACCGTTGGGATCTGGTGATACAGGCAGTGTGCACTTAGTGGAACTGTGTGAAACTGGCCAGTTTTTTGCCATGAAAGCAATGGATAAGAGCATGATGCTCAACCGTAACAAGGTAGGTAAAGTGTTGTTGCATGATCTTAGTCCAATCTTAAATTCTTCCTCGACTTCAATCTTTCGTGTTTCGTTTGTTGCAGGTTCACAGGGCTTGTGCAGAAAGAGAAATCCTTGACATGTTAGACCATCCTTTTCTCCCTGCACTTTATGCTTCATTTCAGGTCAGCAAAATGAAGAAATCCATGTAACCATATTACCTTTTATTCTTCAATCTGTATTTTTCAGATTATTGACTCTGCAGTACTTTTTGCAGACCAAAACTCATATTTGTCTGATAAGTGATTATTGCCCTGGTGGTGAACTCTTCCTCCTCTTGGACAGACAACCCACAAAAGTGTTGAAGGAAGATGCTGTAAGGTAGAACAATACATATTCTGATTATAGCTTATAAGTCAGTCAACTGCTGAGATAAACGAGAACAATAATCGAAAAATAGCAAAAAGTAAAGAAGACAAGATTTATGTAGTTCAGCAATCTGCCTACTGACAGTACATTTCTTCCCTGCAGATTCTTTGCTGCAGAAGTAGTAGTGGCACTGGAGTACCTTCACTGTCAAGGTATAATTAACTTCAAAAGTTCAGTTTTATCCTGATGTGAAAAAAACCCAATAAGAATCCTCATGTTATCCAGAGATAAAATGAGCTTTCTTCTCCAACAGGTATCATTTACAGGGACTTGAAGCCTGAAAATGTTCTGCTTCAGAGTAGTGGACACATAACCTTGACAGATTTTGATTTGTCCTGTTTAACATCTTGCAAGCCACAGGTATTCATTCATACACTCACACTCCCTCATCTTTGTAACAAAAATTTGCAACTACGGGGCAACCCCAGCCAAGTTGGTTAGACTGTTTAATTTATTGGTAACCAAAAGGTTACAAATTCGACTCCCGGTGGGAGCAGCCTATTGGGCTCCCTGGTTTGAGCTGGACAACCTATACTGGTTTACCTGCTCTGGTCCTTTGCTGGCTAAGACCACAAGGCGCGATTTACTCAGTGCACATCCTCAGATAGTGGTTGTTGTACTCATGTTCCATCTTTCTTGAATTGTTCAAGCAGCTTCTGATTCCTGAGGCCACTGACAAGAAAAAGAATCAGAAAGGACAGCAAAATCCAATCTTCTTGGCTGAGCCGATGCGCGCATCGAATTCGTTTGTTGGAACTGAAGAATACATAGCTCCGGTTAGACTTCCACAACATGCCATTATTTCCAGAAATGACTTTAGAAATTGTTTTCTCACACTTCATTCAATTCCCAAACTTGCAGGAAATCATAACTGGTGCAGGCCATACTAGTGCAGTGGACTGGTGGGCTCTTGGTAATTATATTCTTTCAACTTTAATTTATTAGTCCTCTTATATATATATGTATCTCTTTCTGTTAATATGCATCAGTTCCATTTTCTTGGCAGGCATTCTTTTGTATGAAATGCTTTATGGATATACACCATTCAGGGGCAAGACCAGGCAAAAGACATTTGCCAACGTTCTCCACAAGGATCTGAAATTCCCAGGAAGTATACAGGTCCAACATGCACCAGATCATTAAACATATATAGAATCGCTACGATTATGTTTTTCATTTGGTAATAATGTGTTACTACGTTGTTTCTTTAATTTGTTCAGGTTAGTCTGCATGCAAAGCAGTTCATGTACAGATTGCTGCACAGAGATCCCAAAAACAGGTTGGGATCACGAGAAGGAGCAAATGAGATCAAGCACCATCCATTCTTCAAAGGTGTAAACTGGGCTTTAGTGAGATGCGTGGTAACCTCAACAATTCCTTAATTTACCTACCTTTTTGTCGTTGTTTTTTGAGTTACGAGGAACTCACAGTCACTACTTAAAGGTGTGCATTGGATAAACTCCGTCTTATAACCCTAGTCTGTAAAAGATCCTTTGGACAAGAAAGTAAACCAGCATAGGTTGTTCATAATTGAACGACGCAAACCAATAAGGCCTCAGGCTAGAAGTCCAATTTGTAATCTTGTGGTTAGCAAGCGAACAGTCTGACCAACTTGGTTGGAGTTCTCCTTTGGATTACCTACTTGGTTCTATTTTCAGTGCACCAATCAGAAAATCTATGCGTTGTTTCTGCAGAGCCCTCCAAAACTGGATGCTCCTCTTTTTGAAACAGCAGCTGAGAAAGAAGAAAAATTTGACCCTGGGATGGAGGATTTACAGATAAATATTTTCTAAAAGGCAAGCCCTTTACTCATTACACTAGTACATACAGCATAATGTGTGTATTTGAAAATGACAGTTCATACCTTCTGCACAGATAATGAAGCTATTCCCTGATCAATCATCATTCCCAGAAATGCAAAAAAGCAGGAGCTTTTTGAAAAACAAAAAACTGGGTTTTCCCTGCAGCTTGACTGTTCATAGTTTTCTTTGTCCAAGTTCTTGATAGTTGTAAAGGAAATCAAGATTCTTGATCTGATCTTCACTGTTTCTTTTTTTTTTTTTTTTTTTTTTTTGGGTTCCTTTTACCATGAACAGTTTGATGTTTTATGTGTATCATGTGTATTCAAGAAGGCTTTGGAAGGTAAAATAAAAAGTGGAATGAGACAAAAAGTTGAGGGCACAAGTGGTGGTATGATGGAATGGAATCAATATGGGTCCTTAATGTCCTACTTTAACAATATATATAATGATGAAAGTTGTTAAACAGTGCCAGTTATTCCCAGATTCTCAGGATGTCTTCATCCTCATTCCCTGCTACATTAATTGGCATATTTTATTTCTTAATTTAAAAGGATTAATCGATATAATTTACGTTGAACAAAATGTATTTTAGTACTTGGGGAAAAACATATCAGTCCACGATAAGAGTGGACCACTGGTCACACGTGAATTTAAGCTTTGAAGAGGGCCCAAATCAATATATATATATATATATATATATATATAATGCTAAATTACATGGTTTGAGGATGGTGAGTTGGCGTCAAACATGACAGATAATTTAAGCTCAAATGTCGGGGATAGAAAGATGCTTCTTCTGTCGTTGATGGAGACTGAAGACCCAACAATTTTTTTTTTCCTACAGTGTACAGAAACTAACCTATTTTGATTAATTTAAGAAAAATACGAGTTAATTTTCAAAAAAAAAAAAATATGAGTTATAATTTCAATCAAATCAATACATGTTTATTTTATGAGAATACATTTAATATTTTTTCATAGTGATGTTTTTCCATGTTACTATCACTTATAAATAAAAGTACACGTGAAGACCTAATCAATGTTAAATGAATGATAACTTATTGAATATGTAAGATTACGACTTCATTATAATTTTTCCTGTTTAAAAGGTTTCAGTAAAGTATTTATTTAAGTTAGAAAGCTTATTTGTAATACTTGTTCAATTTAAAGATTTATTTGAGTCTTTTTTAAAAATATTATTTTTTGGAATGAATTAGCTAGAACTTCCCCATTTAGGAGTTTTTGGTGAAATTTTTGATGAAATTTATATATGTGGAGGAGAGAAGATAGACAAAATTCTAATACTTAGAGTATTATAATTTTTGAGAAAAAAAAAAGAAATCTAGGCCACCTCGTATGCTTGCTGGACCCATTAGGGTGGTCGCCAACTAACGTATAGTATATATTGTTGTGCAAAGATTGTTTTCGGTTGTGTTTTCTGGTATGATATTAAGAGAAGGTTATTTGTTTTGTTTCTGTGACGTGTGTGTAGACACTGCCTTAAAAGCTATTGCCGGAGACCATGCAAGTCTTTAACCCGGGGCTTTCGACCAGCTAACACAGAATATCTCACGTATAATTTGCACTGAATATACGTAAAATGAATATCTAACACATTGGATCGGATCAAATGGAAAAATGGACCATACTAATATTTGTACTGTAAAATAACTATTTAAAATGTCATTTTATACTCTCTCTTTTTAACGTACAAATATGTGTCCTTACTGACAAATTTTAACATGTTTGATTTTATTTTTTGTTTTAACGTACAAATATGTGTCCTTACTCTCTTTTTAATATTTATTGTTTTAATCTATTAAAACTTGTGACATAAAAAGTGACAATATTGTAAGTGATAAATATAGGAACATTGTTCGTTTAGTTTGCTTTTCAACAATAAATAATGTGAATTAATTGATGATGGTTTAAAATCTGTTATTAGAATTTAATGTTGAAATTACAATATTTACGTGGTAGAAAGAATATTGGGTTGTTGAATTCCCCACCGAAAAGGGAAGAATGACGCATGATTTTCCAAATTAGGTTATTATCATTTTCCAGACCCTTCAATTTATTATACTCATTTAAGTAGCTCTCTGTCTCAATCCGATTAACTTGTCGGCAAAACAACCAAAAAAAAAACACAGTAAAATGTTTTCTTTTTTTAAAGAAAAGTTAAGCAAAGATTAAGAATAAAATAAAAAGAAAAAATGTAGTGCTCAGTGCTCACCACTAATTGCTCCCGCCATTTCCCCCTTTTTATCTTCGATGCCGGAGATTATGGCCCGCCATTACAGATTAATTAATTATCATTATAGATCGGAAGGCCAACCGGTCAAAACATCACATCACTTGAGTTCTTGAAATTTTGGTTACTTTTCTTGGATCACCGGCCAACCTCACCCACCCACTCCCCTCTCCGAGAAAGCTCAGAAGCTGCATTTACTCCTCCAATGGCGTCTGATAACAAGTTAAAGAACAATCAAGTAGTTTCTACTATGATCAAGCAAGGCTTCATTTCTGACCCTTTCTTTTCTTCTCCTCCTCCTACTTCCCATCATCTTCCTGCCGCTAAACTCGCCGCCACCGCCGTTTCTCCGCCGCCGGCGTACACCCCTGCTTCGCCTCCGCCGGCTCCGCCCACCCAGACCCTCTTCGATATGATGTCCAAGGAGCAGTCTCGCAACTTCCGGCAATCCCCCGAGGCCCGCCACCGAGTCCAGGAGCGAATCTCCCGGGTTTTGGCCCATGCACCTTTCCAAAGCCCCAGCCGCGCCGATGGTAATTTTATTGATGGTTCTGGGAGTGGTGGTGATGTTAAGCTGACGATTGCGGCGCGTGATGGGTGGCCCAAGGTTTCTATGGACGTTCATCGGAGGGTGCTGGCCGGCCGGAGCAGATTCTTCGCGGAGAAGCTCCGGCGGAGCGGGTCGCACTCGGTGGAGATCCTGGATTGCGATGACGTGGAGGTGTATGTGAAGACTGTGGTGCTTATGTATTGTGAGGACTTGAAGAAGAAATTGATTGGTGAGGGTGTTTCTAAGGTCCTAGGGCTCCTAAAGGTATCATCTTTCTCCTTCTTAATCTCTGTTTTAAATGCCCTTTACTGCATTTTCTACTAATTTTGATAACCTAGCCATTTTTATAATTCTGCAACTCTCCAAGTCTTGAGATTAGCAAGAACAAGAATCGAAAATAATGGCTGAAAGTAAAGAATGTTGAGCATATAGTCATTAATGTGCAATCAAACTATCAGCTTAAGTTTTTAGTTGAGATGGTGCACATGCTTCAATTAAGAAGGCAAGATTTACGTGGATGGACAATTTGTCCCAAAATCGATTTTTGTAATGATAATCTGGCAAGTTATGATGAATTGGGGGGAGTTTGATTTGATTGAATTATCTGCTAAGTTCCAGTTTTGCAGATTAAGTGGGGATATAAAGTTCTTGTTCATATTATTGTATTTATTGGGGGGAATGGTGTTTCTAAATTAGTGTTTTCCAGGTATCTTCAGCTATCATGTTCGATGCCGGAATAATGGCTTGTTTGGAGTATCTGGAGGCAGCTCCATGGTCTTCAGACGAAGAGGAGAAAGTAATAACTCTTCTGACTCAACTTCACCTTCCCGATTCAGCAACCGATTTGCTTCATAGAGTAGTGCCCGAGCCTTCAACGTCTTCGGGAACTGATGACGTCTTGCTGAGATTGCTAAGCAGCGTTTTACAGGCCAAGGATGACCGAGCCCGTAAAGAGATGAAAATTGTAATTTCTCGGTTGCTTAGAGAAGACGTCCCTGACAATACTATTTCGAGGGACATGCTCTATAATCTTTGTCACGGGTGTCTTAATTCGTTATTACTCTGTGCGTCCGAGGCAACGTGTGTGGATGAAAGCGGGAAGGATCGGGGAGTCGTGATGGGGGAGATAGCTCGCGAGGCGGATAACGTTCAGTGGATCGTTGATATCCTGATTGAGAGGAAGATGGGGGACGAATTTGTGGACTTATGGGCGGACCAAAAGGAGCTTGCGAGTCTTCATTCCAAAATTCCCACCATGTATAGACACGAAATTAGCAGGATCACGGCACAGCTCTGTGTGGCAATTGGTCGAGGGCATTTATTGGTGCCAAAAGACGCACGATTCTCTTTGTTATCGACGTGGCTGGAAGCACTCTATGAGGACTTCGGGTGGATGAGGAGAGCGTGTAGATCGATCGATAAGACGCTAGTCGAGGATGGATTGAGCCAAACGATTCTTACCCTTCCGTTGCCCCAACAACAAGCAATCATGCTTAATTGGTTCGACCGGTTTCTTAATAAGGGCGACGATTGCCCCAACATTCAGAAAGCATTTCAAGTCTGGTGGAGACGGGCTTTTATTAAGCAGTATGTGCCCGAGTCTCAGCTACAGATAGCTCTTTGTGATTACACAAATTGATGGTACGTTCTATCGTCTTTTCGAATTAGACAAATGTACATATAAGATGATATTCTTTTTCTGTTTATCCGTACCATTATTTGTTTTTTCCACTGAAATTATTCATAAATTGTAAGAGAATGAATATATAAGTACTTTTGTGTTGCCATTCAATCATGAAAAAGACAAATAAGTATCTTTATTACAGTACTATGAATTGAAGCATGTGCTCCATCTCAACTAAAATCCTAAGCTGATAGTTGGATTGCACATTAATGACTATATGCTCAACACTATGAATGTTGGAATGAAGATCAAATTGTATTATTGACGAGAAACTGTTGTGACTGTTTTTCATAAAGGAAATTATCCTTCTTGGAATCATCTGCAGACCAAATAAAGATCCCGTGAAGATTCCCCCGATTCTTTAACTTGCTGCAGGCCTGGAAAAACCCGTTTTCGGGTTTTAAACCGCCACTATCATCAGTGCCAAAACTCACGAGAATGGTTCCTCCTGCATAGTTAGAGGTCTGGGTTTCGAAATACTGTATGAACTGAGAAACGCTTGTGCCCTTGGCATAGGCGTAAAACTGGAAGTTGACATAATCGATTAGATGACCGTATCTCTTCCAGAGTGCTAAGTAATAAGGCTGCACACTGTCATCATCGTATGGCGCTATAGATGTGTATGAAACAACGTTGTTCTGTTTAAGGTAGAACAACAATCTGCCAATGCACTCCGCGAATGTTTCAGGGTCTGAGTTGAAGTGTTCGTAGTCGATATCGACTCCATCCAGGTTGTACTCTTTCACGAGCTTAGTGATTGAATATATTGCGTTTCTGACCCAAGAAGTTGTTGATTTAGGTTGGAAGAACACGAATTTACCCCCAACAGAATCCCCACCGAGGCTCATTCCAACCTTGACGTTTGGATGTTGGGATTTGATGGAAGAAATTCGGGATGGCGTGAGGTTTCCGGTGTCCCAGAACGGGCTGAAAACCCCGTTGGAGGGCTGTGGAGATGAAACATCATGTGTGTAATCAATGGCGAAGGAAAGGAGGAAGTGAAAGTCGAGTTTCGGGTGGATTGGCACATCGGAAAAGGTGACATTCTTGTCCTCTGCTCCGATGTATTCCCTGAAAAGATTGGATGAATTTACTGACAGTGATTGAAGAAGGAGGAGAGTGAAGAGGAATTTGAAGGAGTCCATGGTTTGCAGAAAGGTGCAAGGCAGGATGATGCATTTATGTTAACAATTTTTGGACAGATTATTTGTGGAACATAGTTTATATTCTTTGTGACTTTGGATACTGAAATATATAAATCCGGCCGCCGGCAACTCCAGGCTAAAGGCTGTGTTTGGGCGGCAGACTGTGATTGGTCGGCCGGCGAATACAAATATACTTACTACTTATAGCTGTTAGTTGATTGTGTTAATTAGAGGGTATAACTAGTTGATAACATTAGTTGATTGTAAAAAGGTGTTTTGGTAAATTAGCTGTTAGCTGATAGTTGTTTAGTATAATTTTATTTCTCAAAAAATTAATTGAAAAAGTTGTTTTGAGCAATTTTTTGAATTTTAGCATTTTAAAGTTACAAAAAGCTAATTAATCGAACATTTATATTGATTTTTTAACCAAATCAAAAAGCTAATAGTGGTCAAATAAGCTAAAATTGGTCTATATGCTAACTATTTTACCAAACAAGGTCATAGAATTATCAATAATATATAACATAGAATTTGTGAATACAATACAAGATTATCAAATCATAATCTGTTAATATTGTATGATTGTGATATTTGAAAGGAACTTATGAATACAAAATAAGGTAATCAATTATATTTATTTTAACATTGTGTGTTCATAATATACAAATTATAAATTTTTAAAAGGTAAATTATGTACATTAAAAAAGTAAATTGTGAATATTTAAACTCAAGTCCACAGAATAATTTGCCTACACTCTACCAATCGTTATATCCTACACCACGGCGCACATAGCACTGTGCGTCGCGCGCCTCCCAAAACGACGTCGTTTTGGGGTCGTTTTGGGAGGCGCGGTAGTAAGTTGCTGGGATTATGTGTATTTGTTCACACAGTTATGTGTATTTGTTCATACAGTTATGTGTATTGGTTCATACGGTTATGTACATTTTTATACAATTATGTACATTCTTTTTATACAATTATGTACATTCGAATCAGAAAATTTGTGTGTATTATATTAATAGTTGATGTGTATTATGTTAAAAGTTTATGTTTATTTTGTATTACGTTAGATTATGTGTATTATCTTTTAAAAAGAGTATGTATATTTTGTTATATAATTATGTACATTCATGTATACAATTATGTGTATTCTAGTATAACATTATGTACATTCTTGAACAGCGGGTTTTTTTTTTTAAAGAAAAAACTACTGCCATTCACTGGGGCGGAAAATTTCCAAAAAAAAAAAAAAAAATTAAAATGACGTCGTTTTGCATCTGGACGCATAGTGCAACGCGCGCCGTGGTGTAGGATATAAATTGCCACACTCTACCGGGAAGGGCAGAAGGAGAAACTAGTTTTGGATTTCAATTGAGGCTGAACAAGAACAATATGAATTAGGCTTCTAAAATTTTCGACTGTTTGATTGGACCGTCCAAATTCAATCTGGCCCAACACAGGTTGACATGCAAATTATATCGTGCACCACGGTGCATAATGAATTATACACCGAGCTTCTAAACGATGTCGTTTTATTTAATGAAAAAAAAACGTTACCCGTTTCGCAAAAAGTAATTCTGTTATTCAGTTTCATTTTGTATACACTGCAGTTTCAGTTCAACACAACTATAGTTTCATTTCGATATAACTACAGTTTCATTCAATATTTATACACTCAAATATGTGAAAATGTTATTTAATTTTATTTTATATTCCCTATAGTTTCATTAAAACATAAATACATGATCATTTCGATATAACTACAGCTTCATTGCACAATATACATTCAAATATGTGAAATGTTATCCAATTTAATTTTATATACACCGCAGTTTCATTTCAACACAACTACAATATCATTTTGATATAACTACAGTTTCGCTAGGTAATATACACTCAAATATGTGAAAGTTTTATTCAGTTTTATTTTGTATATACTGCAATTTCATTTCAACACAACTACGGTTTCATTTCATTTCAATTGCAGTTTCACTTGATAATATAAAAATAATACATGAGGCAGTGTCAGTTTAGATACACTATAATTTCAGTTGGTAATTAATACACCAAATATGCGCGCTCCGTTAACTGTAACGGCGTGCCATTTCTTTACTTAAAGAAACGGCGCCGTTTTTAGACCGCGGTCAACGGTATAATTGCTAAGGTTGACAAGCAGCCTCTGTCGATCATTATACCGTAGACCATTATTCATATCATTGAGATATTGTTTGTTTTTAGTATACTGAAAAGAGCAAATACCCAAAATGGTCCATCGACTATAGCTAAATTCACAAATTGGTCCTCGACTTTTAATTTCAATCAATTAAGTCCTTAACTTTGTAATTTTAACACAATTTGGTTCTTTGTCTATTTGACCATTTGTTGACTGCACTTTTTAGGATATATATATGTAATTTCATGGTCCATCGTCGGTTTTTTAAGGTTCCGGTTGCATTTATAGACCGCACTATTACATTTGAATCCACTGCCGGCGCTGCACCCCATGCCGGAGAGATTATAGCTTTTGATAGATAGATCGCCGAAGTCCCTGGAGTGATTCTTCGAGAAAGCCGTGACTCCAAGCGATGTAGGCAAGCTGAACCGGCTCGGGATCCCCAAGCAGCAAGCGGAGAAGCACTTCCCCCCTCCGAAACGCCGTTGTCACCTCCAAGAGCGTTCTCTAAGCTTAACCGGCTCGTGAGCCCCAAGCAGCAAGCGGAGAAGCACTTCCCCCTTCGAAACAACGATGTCACCTCCAAGAGCGTTTTCTTGAGCTTTACACGTGAAACTACATATATATCCTCAAAGATCGCGGTCAACAAACGGTCAAATAGATGGAGGACCAAATCGTGTCAAAATTACAAAGTTAAGAACTTAATTGGTTAAAATTGAAAGTCAATGACTAATTTGTGATTTTAGCTATAGTCGAGGACCATTTTGGGTATTTACTCTACTGAAAATTCATTTTTAATAAACTTTCAATAGATTGTAAGTTTATTTTTTCATATATTACTTAAAAATAAATATTCAGTACATTAAGCATAAACAATTTTAGTATGAACATTTATTAATGATTCACCATTCACTGTGAATCATGGTTCACGATATAATCTCCCCCCAAAGCGTATGCATTAGTATTGGACTGATATTTGTAGCTTCGTCCCTCACTTTTTCACTAATTTTCAATAATTATAGTGAAAATTTCAAACTCTGTATGAGTGTATATATAATAATATAAAATACATCAAATTAAAGAACTAATGGTCTGTTTGGTTGGACGTAATTTGGCTGTAGTTGAATTGCAATTCAGTGGAAGTCATAATTACGCTGTTTGGTTGGTGGGAATTGCAATTCCACAGAATTGCAATTCCCTCCTTTTGCTGAATTACAATTCATGGGCACCCCCTATGAATTGCAATTCGGTGGTTGTGGGAAAAGGAAAAAGTAATGAAATGACAAAAGTACTCTTAATTATTACTACTATTATTATTACACAAGGACATTTTAGTCTTTATATCACTTCTTTCATTCCCTACCCAATAATTATATTCATCACTACCAAACAATGTAATTTGAATTTCTACTTTATTCCCACCTTATTCTTTTCCCACCGAATTGCAATTCCTTTCCACCCTAATTCCTTACTCCCAACCAAACGCCCCGTAAAAATTCACGAATATATCGATAATATATTCCAACTCAATTTTGCACCTCTTGTATTTTAAGTTCTGCATACTCTACTATTTGCATATACTAGATTTTTTTGGGTGTATTTAGAATTTTCATCGTCGAACACAGTGATAAATTTTCTCGATGAATTATAGACATTATTTTTGGATAGGACATCTGATTTGGAAAATATACTAGATTCTTTATTGGAATTCTTTTGGTTAAATATATATATATATATATATATATATATATATATATATATATATATATATATAGTACAATGTCGTATTATTTTCGAATGAGGTATTATATTATTATTGATAGTTTAGGTTCAAATGCTCAATGGCCAGATAAATAATTAAAAAAAATAGTGATGATAACCTACAAGATAGATTACTAGTCTAGCTTACAAGATTAGTGATTTAGCATAGAGATCAGTATAAGTGTTATATTGTTGTATAGTGATTTTGGGATACGACACCTAATATGTGACGATAATTAACTAGCCACTTTCCAACAAAAAAAAAAAAAAAAAAAAAAAAAAAAAAACTAGCCACTTTATTTTCAAAAAAAAAAAAAAAAAAAAAAAAAACCACTAGCACAAGGGAATAAACAACTAGTTAAGCAATCAATAACAAGTTTAAGACAATGATAACTAAACAGAATAGCACAAACACATATTAATAACGAGATAATACAAAATAAAGGAAATATGACTCAAGTTAAAAAGTATAATCTACTAGATATAAACAAATCTATACGATTGAAAAAAAAAAATACTAAAAAATTGAGAAGATGTACGTAGGAATCATAATCTACAAGTCACTTTCATGACTCACCTTAAGCTTTGAAAATATGAACTTGCTTTCGACAATACGCAAAATTAACATAATACCACCGTATTTTTAAAAAAATCATTTCGAAGTGTTGATTTTGACAAGATCAATTGCTATGATTATAATCCGCATATTTCACTTGAGAGAGCTTTTGCACTGATCCCTTCTTTGTGTGTGTGTGTATATATATATATATATATATATATATATATATATATATATATATATATATATATATATATATATATATATATATATATATATATATATATAATTGAAAACAAAAGAAGATTTTTTTTTTATATATTGTCAAATCACAATATTATTGTACGTTGTAAAGATTCTTGAATAATAATTAATGGTAGCTATACTAGGTATGTCTCTATATAAAAGGTAGACAAGAAATTCACAAAATATTAAAGAAGCTAGGTGGATTCACCAGAATTGTACAATGCAACTTTAAAAGGAGAAAAGTTAAATTATTGTCACATATCAGGCAAATGGCTTGGTGTCTACAATCCAATAGCGACACTACTTAGCTCGCTGCACTTTGGTAATTATTACCAACATTTAGTATACTCTATCTCTATCCATTAATTAGGACCAGCAGTAGCCTATAGCCAACAATTTAATAATTGCGATGCATGCCAACATTAGTGTTGGGTTTGGGTTTAGGTA